ACATATAACATTCAAGAGTACTTTAACATGGAGGGGTTCTTTTCGGTAAAGGTCACTCCACTTGGAGCTAACATGTGCTTATTAGAGGAGCGTGTGGAAGGCGAACTGGAGTGTCTGGTGAGGGAGGAAAAAGACTGGTTGTCTCAGTTATTAATCATGTGCTTTTGTAACTGTTAGATTTTTTACTATTTTATTTTATTGTTTCAGTTTTTAGCAACCTAGTCAATTAGTGGTTGCTATAATTTAGGAGCAAGCTAGTAGTAGTCGCTATACTTTAGGAACAAATTAGTTTAATTATTCAATTCCCTAAAATCCTGGTTACGTGGGATAACTTTCAGTTTTTCCTTTCTATTATTTATTGTAACATTTCTATCAATCAAATATACAATTCCTTTCCTTTAATATACTGTTTCTCTACTTCTCTGCCACTATATTTATTATTTTCTGTCATTAAACTAACAAATTGGTATCTAGAGCCTTCTTCTTAGAGGGACCTGTGAGTGAACCCAGTAAAAACCCACCATAATAAACCTTGCTTAAATTCATCAAATAGATGGATTATGAAACTCCTTACACAAAACTAGCACCGCCTATGTTTGACGGTGATAATTATCACATATGGGCAACAAGAATGGAGGCTCACCTAGAAGCAAATGACCTTTGGGAAGCCGTTGAGGAAGACTATGAAGTTCTTTCTTTGCCGAACAATCCAACCATGGCTCAAATAAGAAATCACAAGGAGAAGAAAGCAAGAAAGTCAAAAGCAAGAGCTACTCTGTTTGCTGCTGTCTCACAAGACATTTTCACCAGAATCATGACGATCAAATCGACATTTGAGATCTGGAATTTCCTCAAGGAAGAATACGAAGGAGATGAAATAATCAATGGAATGCAAGCAATGAATCTGATTAGAGAATTTGAGATGCAGAAAATGAAGGAGTCTGAAACAATTAAGGAGTATGCAAACAAACTTCTTAACATTGCTAACAAGGTGAGGTTGTTAGGTTCTGATTTTTATGATTCACGAATAGTTTAGAAAATACTAGTGACTGCTCCTGAAAAATTTGAAGCTTCTATTACTTCATTGGAAAATACTAAGGATCTTTCAAAGATCACATTGGCAGAACTTGTAAGTGCTATGCAGTCCCAAGAGCAGTGAAGGTTGATGAGACAAGATGGTGCAGTCGAAGATGCTTTACGAGCCAAGCACCATTATGGAGAAACCAGTAGAAATAAGCATGTCAAGAAGAACCAGCCATCGAGCTGCGAAAATAGTGCAAATAACCAAAACAATGGTAGGGGTAAAAAGAAAAACTACCCACCTTGTCAGCATTGCGGAAAGTTGGGTCACCCACCATACAAATGTTGGAAACGACCAAATGCGAAGTGTAGTAAATGCAATCAGCTTGGACATGAAGCTGTAATTTGTAGGAGCAAATTTCAGCAGCAACCTGAAGCTAATGCCCAAGTTGTTGAGCAAGATGAAGAAGATTATATTTTTGCTGCAACATGCTATTCGACGAGGAGTAATTCTGAATGATGGTTGATTGATAGTGGTTGTACGAATCACATGACATATGACAAGACTCTATTCAAGGACTTGAAGCCCACTAATGTTTGAAAGGTCATAATAGGGAATGGTGGCTATATTACTGCAAAAGGAAAAGGAACCATTGCAATTTCAACGTGTTCAGGTACCAAAATTATATATGATGTTCTTTATGTACCTGACATCGACCAAAACTTGTTAAGTGTAGGTCAGTTGATTAAAAAGGAATTTAAAGTATCATTTGAAAATCAACATTGTCTTATCTACGACACTGCTGGTCGGGAAGTTCTACGGGTTAAAATGAGAGGTAAAAGCTTCTCGTTTGATCCAATAGAGGAGGAGCAGGCGGTCTATTTTACTCAAGTCAGTCCCACAGAACTCTGGCACAAGAGACTTGGGCATTTTCATCTTGAAATAATGTTGAACTTGCAAAGAAAAGGCATGTCAAGAGGTCTGCCAATACTTTCTGATAATTTACCAAATTGTAATGCTTGTCAATTTGGTATACAAATAAGAAAATCATTCCCCAAATCAGCTTGGAGAGCTTCTCAAAAGTTGCAGCTTGTTCACACTGATGTGGCAGGAAAGCGTATCTGAGTCCACACTTTATGTGAAACATAAGGGAAATAATTTTCTCATAGTTTCCTTCTATGTGGATGATCTTTTAGTGACAGGAGATGACGCAAGGCTAGTTGACGAGTTCAAGCAAGAAATGATGCAAGCTTTTGAAATGACAGAATTTTCTTAGAATTGAGATCAAACAAAGTGGGAATGAAGTGTTAATTTGTCAGAGAAAATATGCAAAGGAAATTTTGAAAAAATTTCAAATGGAGGAATGTAAATCTGTTAGCACACCAATGAATCAAAAGGAGAAGTTTAACAAGGATGATGGTGCTGAAAAAGTTGATGAAGGATATTACATAAGCTTGATTGGATGTCTAATGTATCTCACTGCAACAAGGTCGGACATTCTATTTGCGGTAAGTCTCTTGTCTCGTTTTATGCACTGTCCAAGTGAAATTCATTTACAAGCAGCAAAAAGAATATTGAGATATGTTAAAGGCACTATTGATTATGGAGTCAAATTTGATAAGTGTCAAGAATTCAAGTTGTATGGATTCTCTGATAGTGATTGGGCTGGATCCATTGATGATATGAAGAGCACTTCAGGATACTGTTTCAGCCTAGGCTCAGGAGTATTCTCATGGTGCACAAAGAAGCAAGAGATTGTAGCACAGTCCACCGCTGAGGCTGAATTTATAGCAGCAACAGTCGCTGTAAATCAAGCTTTATGGTTGAAGAAGATTTTATGTGATTTATCTTTGCAGCAGAAGAACAAAACAGAAATTTTTGTTGACAACCAAGCTGCAATTGCTATTGCAAACAATCCAGTATGTCACGAGAAGACTAAACATTTCAACATCAAGCTCTATTTTTTGAGAGAGATGCAGCAAAGTGGAGAAGTAAACTTAGTTTACTGCAAGTCTGAAGATCAATTGGCTGACATGTTTACAAAGCCATTACCTATCAGCAAATTTGAATATGTAAGGCAACTGATTGGAGTTTGCAGTTCCTAAAGCAAGGAGGAGTATTAATCATGTGCTTTTGTAACTGCTAGATTTTTTATTATTTTATTTTATTGTTTCAGTTTTTAGCAACTTAGTCAATTAGTGATTGCTATAATTTAGGAGCAAGCTAGTAGTAGTTGCTATACTAACAAATTAGTTTAATTATTCAATTTCTTAAAATCTTTGTTACTTGGGATAACTTTCAATTTTTTCTTTCCATTATTTATAGTAATATTTCTATCGATCAAATATACAATTCATTTCCTTTAATATATTGTTTATCTACTTCTCTGACATTATATTTGTTATTTTGTGTGATTCAAAGAGGTAAGATGTTTGCGCTCAGGAGATGTGGGTATTGAGAGATTGACATGAGTAAGATGTTACGACATTCCCTGCCACTCGTGGTGTCCGAAAATTTTCAATTTCCTTATGTCTCTGTTAGGTACCTACTTATGCTGCGACGATGAAACTCAAAATCATACCAAGTTCGATGTGGCAAGGGTTCTAGTCAGAACAAAATCATACCACGGGGGGTGTTAATTCGACTTTCTCAGGTGGCTCTGTCTTGTGTTGCAATTCCATAGGAGATTCAGATATGGCTCAAGGGAATAAGCGGTTTCTTGTTGATGGTGGTGAGGATGTGTCTGTTAAGGTCTGGAAGGTAATAACTCAGCTGGGCGTGGCAGGGAATGAGGAAGAGGAATGTTATGTGGAGGCAATTAGAGATATGGAGATTAGGGATCGTGAAGGACAACAAACTTCGAAGGAGAATACAATCAATGTGGAATCGTGAATATTGTATTATATAATATTCGAGGTGGGGGTAATCCTTTGAAGAGAAGAAGGATTAAGGAGTGTCTCAAAAAAAGGGGTGCGGATATTTGTTTTCTGCAGGAAACAAAGATCAAAGTGATGTCTGGTGATCTGGTTCTCAGTTTGTGGGGTGTTGGCGAGTTGGATTGAACTGCGAAGGTGGAAGAGGGTCAATCTGGAGGCTCTATTATCATGTGGAGAAAAGATTTGTTCGTCTCACTATTCAGCTTTATAGGGGAAGAATTTCTAGGGGTTTGGGCGATATTCAAAGGGAAGATGTGCTTATTTGTCAATGTGTATGCAACTTGTGATACAGGTCTGAAGATGTGGACTGAACTCATTGAGTTGAAACAGAAGTGGGGTGGGGATTGTGGTGTGTAGGGGGCGATTTTAACTCTATTCGGTTTTCTACTGAGAGAATCGGTCAGGGGTCATATTCAAGAACGCATGAATCCTCTGAATTTAATGATTTTATTGATTTCATGGAGTTGGTTGATCTTCGTATTGGGAGCAACAAATTCTCTTGGTGTGGAGGGAGGTTAGGATCAAGAAGCAGGATTGACCGTTTTCTGTTGTCTGAAGGTGTTCTAGAACTGTTGTCGGCAGTTAGCTAGGAGATTGGGGTAAAGGACATATCGAACCACAATCCCATTTGGCTGAGATGTAATAAAGTTAACTGGGGCCGAAACCTTTTCGAACACTGAATTGTTTGCTTGAGAATCAGGAGTTGGTGGAATTCGTCGATAATGAATGGAAGGCTATGGAGGTGGCTGGTTCTGCGTCTTACATAGTGAAAGAAAAGTGAGATTGTTGAGGGATAGGCTGCGATGGTGGAATAAGTCAGTGTTTGGGTGGGTGGATGTTAAGATTGAGGAGGCGGTGAAAGATATTAATGATGTAGAGGGATTGGAAAATATGGATTCAATAGAAGTGATTGAAGAGTGCTCGAAGAAACGTGCAGAGGCGACACATTCCTTTTGGTTGAATTTGAGGCTGTGAGAGAGCATTTTAAAGCAAAAGTCACGGGTAAGATGGATCAAGGAAGGAGATCTTAACTCTAGGTTTTTTCATGTCTCTCTTAAAGCAAGATCAAGGACGAATGCAATAGTGGGGGTCAATACTTCAGAGGGGAGGGTTGAAAGTGTTGCTGAGGTGAAGGGTGCTGTTAAATCTTTTTTCGAAGGGAGATTCAAAGAGTGTTGCGGTTTCCAAAGGCCTATATTGGAGGGTATTGAGTTTGTTAAATTGTCTACGGGGAGTGTCAGTTTACTGGAGGAAGTGTTTACTTTGGACGAAGTGAGGGGTGTGGTGTGAGAATGCGATGGTGATAAGGGTCCAGGTCCCGACGGATTGAACTTCAATTTCATTCGAAAATGTTGGAATACTTTGTCAACAGATATCTTCAATTTTGTGAAGAAGTTTTACAGCAAAGCAAATCTTCCAAAGGCGGTCTCCGCTTCCTTCATAGCGTTGATTCCAAAAGTAGATAATCCACAGGAGTTGGGAAAGTATAGGCGAATCAGTTTGGTGGGATGTTTGTACAAAATTGTTGCAAAACTGCTGGCTAATAGGTTGAAGAGGGTGATAGGGGAGATTGTTTCTAGTTCTCAAACAGCATTCGTACCGGGGAGAAAAATTCAGGATGGTATTGTGGTCATCAATGAAATAGTGGACCTGGCAAAGAGGACAAAAAAGGAGTGTTTATTATTGAAGGTGGACTTCGAGAAAGCATATGATAATATGAATTGGAGTTTTCTTCTATACATCTCGAAAAGGTACGGTTTCAGGGCCCGTTGGATACGTTGGATGGAAGCGTGTGTTTGTCATTGTTCCCTCTCTGTTCTGGTTAATAGCAGTCGCAAGAAGGATTTTCCAATGGGAAAAGGCCTTAGGCAGGGTGATCCCCTTTCACCCTTTCTCTTTACTCTAGTGGCAGAAGGCTTAGAAAAATTGTTGTCGAAAGCGATTACTTGTGGTCTGTATAAAGGCTTCAGGTTATCCAATTCAGTGGAGTTCCATATGCTACAATTTGCAGATGATACGATTATAATCGGTGAAGGATCATGGAGCAATTTATGGAGCATCAAGGCGGTTCTGAGAGGCTTCGAGTTGGTGTCGGGGTTGAACATAAATTTCTCGAAAAGCTGTTTGGTGGGCATTAATTTGAGACAACGGTTTATGTAGGCTGCAAGATCCTTTTTAGGCTGCGAGATTGGAAAGTTGCCTTTCAATTTTCTTGGCATTCCGATCGGGGCTAATCAGCGGTTCCAAAATATATGGAAACCAGTTGTGGAAAACATCAAGGGAAGATTGGCTTCATGGAAGGGACGGTTTCTGTCCATTGCGGGCATAATCACTCTAATTAATTCAGGGTTAAATTTAATACCAATATATATGTTGTCTTTTTATAAGATTCCAAAGGTCGTTCTTATTGAACTGATAAGAATTCAGAGGGAGTTTTTGTGGAGTGGAGGGGTGGAGAGGAGGGCATTAGTTGTGGGTCAAGTGGACTGAAGTGTGCAAAAATAAGGAGAATGTGGGGTTGGAAATTAGATGTTTGAAGACTTTTAACGAAGCCTTATTGAGCAAATGGAAGTGGAGATTTTTGAACGATAGAATCGCGCTGTGGAGACCTCTGTTAGAATATAGGTATGTAAAGCTAGAAATGGGTGTGTTGGGAGGCTTAACAGCGGCTGGCCAGAAGTTTTCTTCACTGTGGTGGAGGGATCTATTTCCACTTACTAGTACTACTGACTTTCAGTCCGATTGTGTCCATGGATATTTGTCTTGCAAGTTAGGTAGTGGCGACTGCATATTGTTTTGGAAAAGTAAGTAGTTCGGGGGTACTCCTCTCAATATATTGTTTCCCGAATTGTTTGAGCTCTCAGTAAAACCAAATGGTACAGTAGGGGAAATGGGAGAACTGGTTGCAGATTACTGGGTGTGGCGGTTCAGCTCTGAGAGCGATTTGTTCAGTTTGACAGTTGGTGCACAAGTGGCTGAGTTGCTATCACTGCTAGATAGTGTGGCACCAAACTTTGAGGAGTAGGATAAGTTTGTTTGGTATAAAGGACACGAGGGATGCTATACGGTTCGTGATGGTTATAGGGTGTTGTTAGGCAGGTCAGATGGCGGCAACTTCAACGAGGAATGGAAGGCAGCAAACAAGAGCATTTGGGCAGCATCGGTGCCATCGAAGATTCGAGTTTTTGGTTGGCGATGCTTACTGGGAAGAATTGCAACAAAGGTGCAGTTGTCGAAAAGAGGAATTGCATCGCGCATCAATGATAATAATATGTGTGTTTTCTGTTTCTCTGCAGTCGAAACATTGGAGCATATATTGTTTTCTTGCCCAAGATCCGTCTCTGTGTGGGCAAATGTGTTGTTTTAGTTGAGAGTCCCCGTGTCAGTATTTGGACATTTTGGAACATATAGGGTGGTTTAAAGGGGTGTTGGGCAGTAGGATTTTCCCCCTAATAAAAAGCTAGTAATATGGTTGGCTACTTGTTGGGCTCTGTGGAAGAAAAGAAACGTTATTATCTTCAAGAACAACATTTTTCAGGATAGTGAGGTGGTGGACGACATCAAGCTCCTTTCCGGGTTTTGGCTTGTTATAGGTAACAAATCCTTGGTGCATTGTATTTTCTGTTTCTGGTGTATGAATACATTGGATTACCTTTTGTAGTGACTGCTCTTGTATTCCGGCGAGTGCCCCTTGTACTCTTTTAATGACAATAGCATCGCATATAAAAAAAAGTGAAGATTGGGAGATGTACGCCAGAAATCACACATGAAATTCATCTTTTTATAACTCATTCTTTATTCTGAGTTGTGCTTTTTCTTTAACTCCCCTTGGTACTTTTGCATGTGCTGCAATTAAGGCGTTAGTTATGAACAGGCTTTCTTTTTTACGTCAGACCTATGAACAATCTTGGAGATTTTTTATTTTTTATTTACAGTACATATCTTGGAGATTTTATTTCTTTAAGAAACTTCTGACAAACTCTTTATAAAAAATAAAGACTTCTGACAAGCTATTTAAACTAAGATGAATACTTGGGTATTTTTTAGATATAATGTTCTGCAGACTGATTTCAACGGCAGAACCGACTGAATGGTTCACGCCAACATTGCCCCATCACCAAATCCCGTTCGAGATTCCGCCCATCCCTGACACAGCAATCTGTTTCAGGCCTGATGCCTCATACAACATAGGTAAGTGTCCTTCAAACTCATATCCCATATCCACACTGAATGCCAAAATGAGGTTTTGAAACCATTCCCGATCATGAATTTACAATTATTTACAAAAACCTCCTCACCAAGTTTCTTGTAAATTATAATCATATCTACCCACCATTGAGATTTAGATATTTTCGGATAAAGAGATTGATCACCATTCACCATATGTAAACAAATATCGTCGTAACGAGCTTTCAAAACTTGAGACCACATTGAATCTGACCCTCTTAAAATTCTCCATTTCCATTTTAAAAGAAGTGCCACATTAAAATCTTTGATGTTTCTTATCCCCAACCCACCTTTATCCATTGGTAAGCAAATCTCCTTCCAACCTACCCAATGAATCCTTCTCCTCTCCTCCGAACCACCCCATAAGAAATTACTTTGAATACTAATAATATCTTTCGATATCTTAACTGGTAACTTGTAGAAAGAAAGCATGAAGATAGACGGAGCACAAAACAGATTTGAGAAGAGTAATTCTTCCTCCGAGGCTAAGAAAACGAGTCTTCCAAGTAGAAAGTCAACTCTTAATCTTGAGAAGAAGAGGTTGCCACGTCGATAGTCTCATAGAATTCGAACCAATCGGGATGCCAAGAAAAATAAATTTGTTATCTTCCAACCTGCACGAAAGAAAAGAGGACGTTGCCTCCATAAAACGATTAGACGAATTTATCCCAATCAATTTTCTTTTGTGGAAACTAATTCTCAATCCTGAAACTAATTTAAAGCTCCTGAGAACCGCTTTAAAAGCCCATAATTTCTTCCAATTACTCTCTCCCACCAACAACGTATCGTCTGCAAATTGAAGTATGTCCACAACCAACTTCCTTTTGATACCAACCCCTTCAAATTCACCAATATCCATTGCCTTTTCCACCAATGTTGCAAGACCCTCTGCCACAAGAACAAAAAGAAACCGGGAAAGAGGATCTCCTTGCCTCAATCCCTTCGCCACCTTAAACTCCTTTGTCAGGATGCCATTAACAACCACCAACGTATTACTATGAAAAATCAACATTTCCATCCATCTCATCCACGTATCACCAAAACCCTTCCTCTCCATCAAAAACCTAAGGAAATTCCAACTAACTTTGTCATATGCCTTTTCAAAATCAATCTTAAAAAGGATACAACTCTTTCCTTCCTTCTTAGCAAAATCCACAACCTCATTAGCGACCTAAACTCCATCTAAAAGTTGTCTCCCGGAACAAAGACACTTTGACAATTAGAAACTATAGAACTCAAAACCACTTTCAATCTTCCCGCCAAAAGTTTCGACAAGACTTTGTATAAGCAACCAACAAGACAAATGGGCCTATAATTGTCTAAACCTAAAGGGTTTGCCTCTTCCGGGACCAACATCAAAAAAGAAGAAGTAAATGCTTTCGATAAAACTAAACCCAAGTGGAATCCATTACTGAAGCGCACAAAATCATCTTTAAGAAAATACCAACATCCCTGAAAGAACAAAAACGAGAAGCCATTGGGACCCGGGCTTTTCGAACCCTCACAACCCCAAACCGCCTCCTTAGTCTCACTCTCAAAAAACTGAGCCTCAAGAGACGCACACTCAAGACTATTAAGCCTCTTGAAATTAACACCTTCAAGTATCAACCTTTCCTCATCATCTTCCACAAATTTGTTCGAAAAATTATCCAAAACCTTCTCTCTAAAAATATTTACGGGATCCAAACTACCATTGACCAGATTGATTGTACCAATAAAATTACTCCTCTGTCTCGCCTTCATAACTCTATGAAAGAGTCTACTATTATTTTCTCCATCGTTAATCCACTTTAACCTCGATTTTTGAATGAGCATATTCTCCTTAATTTTGAGATTCAACAGAAACCGACTAGTTGCTTCCTTCCTTTTCGATAACACCTCCTCCCGCCCACTATCAATATCAAGAGCAAGCAAATCATCCACCTCGCTCAAATCCCTCACCCCCTCCTCAACTTCCATGCCAATCCTCCCAAACACCTCATTATTCCACCATCTAAGTCTCTCTTTTAACAACCTCAACTTCTCTTTTAGGATAAAATCGCTCCTTTCTTCCATAATTAACTTCTTCCATTCGGATTCCACATTGGAAGAAACTCTTTGTTGGAAAATCATTCATTGTTAAAATTAAAAGGCTTTGGTCCCCAATTCGCCGCATCCACCACCAACCAAATTGGGAAATTGTCTGAGATATCACGAGAACCAATGAATTGCCCAACTACCCCCCCCCCCCCCCCCCTCATCTACTCACTATAACATCAGAAACTAAGAAATAATCAATTCTACTCATAGCTCCCCATCTCCGCTAAACCAACTGAATTTTTTCCCTTACAAGGAACATCGATAAGATTGCTCTCATCAATGAAAGTTCTAAAATCCTTCATTTCATTAGATCTATACAATCTCGCCCTGCCTTTCCTTTCTCGCTGACATTTTACCGCATTAAAATCACCGCTAAAAATCCACTCTCCATCATAATGACTAGCTTTGTACTCCAACAGCTTCACCCACAAACTTCTTTTCAAGGCCAACTCACAAGATGAGTAAAGGAAATTCCTCCACCTAACCTTCACCCCCAAAAAACCTTCTCCCCTAAAACTGCATAAAACTTCAACCGACCCTTCTTTCCATAAGATTAGAAGACCTCCCGAAGCTCCTCTAAACTCGGAAAAAGAAAACCCCACATCTTCATTGCTCCAAAACTCTTAATAACATGATCATGCGGTGTTGATAACTTAGTTTCCTGAGTCAGAAACATGTTCACCTTACCCTTCTTTATTATTTGGCTTATTTTCCTCCTCTTCACACTATGCCAAAATTGAATTTAGACAACGCCACATAGACAACGCTTATGCCCTAAGCGCTGCTATAGGTTTTCAGAAGAAAAAAAATTAAAAAATTAGAGTAAGCGTTGCTAAAGGTATACCTTAGACAACGCTTACTAAAAGCGCTGCTAAAGGCCTTACCATAGACAACGCTTCCTTTTCCTAAGCGCTGCTATAGGTTTCCAATAAAAAATAAATAAAAAAAATAAGAATAAGCGCTGCTAAAGGGTATACCTTAGACAACGCTTACTAAAAGCGCTGCTAAAGGCCTTACCATAGACAACGCTTCCTTTCCCTAAGCGCTGCTAAAGGCCTTACCATAGACAACGCTTCCTTTCCCTAAGCGCTGCTATAGGTTTTCAATAAAAAAATAAAAAAAATAAGAATAAGCGTTGCTAAAGGGTATACCTTAGACAACGCTTACTAAAAGCGCTGCTAAAGGTGTGATAAAGGGTATACCTTAGACAGCGCTTTCAAGAAGCGCTGCTAAAGGCATTACTCTAAAGCGCTGCTAAAGCCTAAAGCGCTGCTAAAGCCTAAAGCGCTGCTAAAGGTAATACCTTTAGCAGCGCTTCTTGAAAGTGCTGTCTAAGGTAATTAAATAGTTTCTAAATCCCTAAATTGGTTATCAGAAACCCCACTTTATACAAACGAAACCCCACACACACAACTGTTCATCTTCGTCTCCAACTCGTCTCCTCCCTCCTCACCGTCCAACCGTGGTTCATCTTCTTCTCCAACTCGCTTCCTGATTCGTTGTCTCGTTGCAAACTTCGGATTCTCCGGTTATACGAGGGCAAGGGCAAGGGGGTGTATTCAGCAAAAGAGGGGTGCAAATAGTGAAAGAACCAAAGCCCATCCTAAGCCAGACTTCATCTTTAACCTCTCTTCAAAATTCCGTGCGTCCTGTATCAAACATGTACAACCTGCATACGAGCTCTAATGCAAAAACACATAACATCAAAGTTGTAGGGTTTTCCAAGACGAATTCAACCATATAAAAAACTTGTCCTAACTCTCAAAAACCAGAGAGAATTTCTCTGGCCCTAAATCTTAACCTATTTTTTTCAGGATGTTCATGGACCAAATTCTCTTAGCATGCTTAACTAAAATGAAAACTGAGCATATGTACAACTTCATGGCTATGAATACTACATTTCTTATTCACAAACTTAAGTCTAATTGTTCCTAAATAGAGAGATAGGAAGTTGATAAAAACCTGTTTCAATTGAGATCGTGTCTGGCAATGTGGAGCTTTTCAATGAGGCCTGAGATGTTTGGGAGCTTGCTTGAACTTCCCCTGACCTTCTCCAATGCC